CATCATTGTTTTTGGGCAGATTTAGTTGGGGTATAGAATTCCAAACAGCATCTATTGCCCTTGCATCCTATTGCTCTTTTGAAAGTTCACACCATCTTTGTCGTTTCCTTTATTCGTCATTATCGCTTCGCCTCTTTTCCCCCAATTTCCTTGTCGTTCCACATCAGGAAAGTTCTTAGCAATCTTGTCGGGCTTCCTCTTTCCACTTCTCTTCACGCTCACATCCCTCACTACCGTGTAAGCCACGATTGATTTTTGAGAACCTTCTAGACAATGTGTTTCCAACGAACCATATAGGAAGAACGGGTTATGAACACAATTTCAGTGCGTATACTCTCCTGAACGGTTTTTCGTATCTTTCCACCTCTTCGTTTACTTCGCCACATGTTTATGGTACGAACCAACACGCTCAAATGCACAGCTTCACGTGCCAAATGATCATCATTGTTTTTGGGCAGATTTAGTTGGGGTATAGAATCCCAAACAGCATCTATTTCCCTTGCATCCTATTGCTATCCTGAAAGTTCACACCATCTTTGTCGTCTCCGTTTTCGTCATTTTGTCTTCGTCTTTTTCCCCCATTGTCCTTGCCACTCTTCATCAGGAAAGTTCCTGCATGGGGGAAAGTTCCCCCATCACATGCATAGTTTCACCTTCCATAGCACCATAAATGTTTTGGGGCAATTTAGTTGTGTTATAGAAACGGAAACATGATCGATTGCCCATGCATCCTATTCATATCCTGATACTTCACCCACTGTTTGCCGTTCCTCTTAGTGTCATTTTTGCTTGGTCGTTTTCCCCCATTGTCCTTGCCATACATCTGAGTTGACGACATTCACGTGAAAATGCTTTTATACCGGTGTCCATTGTGGGTGTGTCTGCCCTTTTTTTTTTCCCCTTTTAGGAGCTTGGCTGTTCGTTGCGGTGAGGGGAGTCGAGAGGAACATTGTGATGGCATCATCTTCGAGCACGGCCCTGATCTTTACAGGCGAGAGGACCGATGGTGAGTTTCGCAAGCAATATTCTTTAACGTTGAAACCTATCATCGGAGATGGTAATTGCTTATTTCGAAGTCTGTCAATGTCATTATACGATACGCAAAACAGATATACAGATGTAAAACGCGAGCTGTTGCGACATGTTGTCGACAACTGGGATAATACTACATACAGGTATCCTCTAGAAGCTAGTATGGCGCATGAAAAGGTGTTCGAAACTGCTAGCGAGTATTTTTCTTATCTATCACAGGATGGAGCTTATGGATCGTGCAATGAGGTGAGAGCATTCTCTGTCGTTTATAACATAACGGCAATCATTTGGCTGGATACAAGACAGTTCATTGTTTGTTTTCGTGCACCGCAAGGTACGTCTGGGAATCGTGTTACGCATTTACATTTTGATTGCGTTCTTGAACACTACTCTTTACTTGTTCCCGATCCGGAAGGCACTGTGTACGGCACCAGGTACGAGAGCATGCAACATACTGGCAATGATACAGAACCGGTCCATATTCGTGTCCCTCATTTGAGTTCGGAAAATCATTCTACAAGCTTACTGACAACTGCGGGGGATGCTTTATCAACGATGGATTGTGAATCTGTGGACAGTGTTAGAACCGCTACTATGAATGATAGATTTTCCCATATTTCAAACAAAACCGCTAAGTCAAACGATGGAGTAGTACAAACTTGTTCAAAAAAGCGTCGTCAAAAAGTACATAAGGCTTCAAATACGTTTTTTTGCATATGTCGTAAGTACGCACAGGCACGAGACGAACCCAACAAACGCTTTATAGGTGTGAGAGCTCTCGCACATGGTTTCAAATTTATTGTCAAGTACAACAAGAAACCGTTTTCATTTTCCGGTTTTCAACATGCTGCAGATGCAGCATTTGCAAGAGCGTATTTTATTCACAAAAAAATCCAAAATATACAAGGTTACGAGTTCGACGTACATTTTGGATTTGATGTGAACACTGGAATTCCAATTTCAAACAATGATCTCGATTTAAAATTCAAGAACGTAACAATCATTCGATCACCTTCTAAGCAGAAAATGAGTAAGTCCATGGTTGAGTTTCAGAAGGATTGCAAGTGTGGGCCCGACGTAGAATGTACAGCGTGTGGTACTTTCAATTTTGAACGTAACATGGTACAAAAGGGGACAGGTAAACCATCGAAAAGAATATGTCGACACTGCGCTAAATATGAAATCGATGGAAACGTATCTCCATTCTCGAACCTCAATCGATACGGGTTTCCGACAAGACCAGCTGCTATTCAAGACATAACGGTATTGGAGGAACGATTGGTAAGTCCTCGTATACCGTTCATGAAGATCCATTCCTTGTCCGTTGGCAAACAGTTTGGTATTCAAGGCGGAGTAATAAATATTCCCGTCGAGGTAGATAAGATGGTCCAAGCTCTTCCAAGATTACCAGATGATACTCATACCATTACGGTACGGTTAAAACGTAAGCTTGTTTATAAGAACAATGCTATCGAAGATAATGTACGCCCAACAAAAATCTTAAAAGCGGTGGAGTTTCTTTGCAATCAAGATCTCTTCAAAGAATATGGCATCCATCTCGACAACATGAAGATGCGATCATTAGAGTGCAATACCCGTGAGGTATCTTCAGAAGACAGTGGAGACAACGACGAGAGGAGATTGAAACCGGGGTCGTCGTCCTCGGATAAAAGTGAAGATTCTGATCATCATAACGTCGGTGTGCTTGATACTCTCTTAACTCAAGAGCATTTTTTTCAGCAGCCTTCACAATGCATAGTGCAAATGGCACCTGGCGAGCATGCAAGACCGTTATCCATTGTCCTTGATAAGGACGTCGAGGAGCTAAGCTTTCCATCAATCTATTGCGGTCAACGGCGATTTGGTGGAGCGCGTAACTTGAACGTCTCATATTCGGATATTGTGAAATGGGAGCTGAAACATGCCAACGGGCGATGCTCTACTAATGTTCCGAATATTTTCTTCAAACTGTACAAAAAAGAGATACTTCAAGTGCAGAACGTTATTGCGACAAGGGTTAGACAAGAAAAGATTGAGAACATGCAGTCATTTACGGCAGCAGACATGTTAAATGAAACAAAGCGAGCAAGTCTGCAGCAAAATGATGCACTTTACAACGATTTTAGAACAATACGTACCACTCAACAATATAGAGACAAGTGTAAACGAGATCTTTTTGCGATGATACGTCAGTTAGGAAGACCCACGTTTTTTTTTACATTGTCGATGGCCGATACCAAATGGACAGACCTCCACGCAATACTGTTAAGAGTTAATGATCTACGAAGAAACCCTCCTAAAATACGTACTGACATCAGCATACCGTTGGATTTTGATACTATTTGTTCGTTAGTTCGACATGATCCAGTTACGTGCGCTCGGTATTACGACTTCAGGAAGAAGGCGTTGTTTTCAAGGCTACTTAATGCGACCTCCTCCGTCTTAGGAGGTATTCATGATTATTTTGCACTGGACGAGTTTCAACATCGAGGTGCGCCACATACTCATGCAGTTCTTTGGAGCAAATCGGCTAAAGATACTGATGTGGATTCTGCAGCTGATATCATAAAGTTTGCAGATCAACATATCAGTTCATCGTCTGAAGGATTGGATTCTCAACTACTGCTCTTACAAACTCACAAGCATTCCCGGTCATGCCAACGTCGGTCGGCCAGCGGCAAGAAGTGTAGATTTGGGTTTCCAAGGTTTCCGCTCCCATCTACAATGATTTTACATCCTATTTCTACTACATTGACAGAAAAAGAACAGAAGAAAATTAAAAGTCATTTGAGTCTTATAAAGGAACGTCTGGAGGTAGCGCCAATTTGTTGTGATACGTTTGATTCATTTTTAAAGAACATAGGAATTTCATTTTCAGAATATTTAATGGTAATACGATTTACTCTTAAACGTATTACACTTGTTCTCCAACGAAAGGTGTGTCAAACATTGCATGTTTATATTGTCTAGGCTGTAGTGGGTTACACCTTAGGGGGTACACAAAGTTAGGGTTTCCTACTTGTACCAAACTCTGTTCTAGTTCATTCATTCCTGCTCAGTTATTTCTGACATGGTTTCAGAGCAGGTCCTTCGCTAGGACTGTTCTTAGGGCCCACCGACTTACCTACCTGCTTACCTTCGCTTCTTTTCGGCCCCGATGGCCCCGTCGATCTAGCACGATCTAGCGGCCCTGCGGCCCCTTCGAATTTTTTTTTTAGCGGCCTCTCACGGCCCCCGTCGCGTCGCCCCTTAGCGCCCCGATCGGCCCCGTCACGCCGCCCGCGAACCGCACAGCGCGCCGCGCTCACAGCCCGCGAACCGCCCACGCACAGCCCGCGAACCGCCTGCGCAGCCCGCGACCAGCCCGCGCAGCCCGCGCACAGCCCGCGAACTGCCCGCGAGCAGCCCGCGACCTGCCCGCGAACCCCCGCGAGCCGCCCGCGACCCGCTTACGCAGCCCGCGAGCAGCCCGCGCAGCCCGCGCTGAGCCTGCGCGGCTCGTGCGCTGACCGCCGCCGGCCCGCACGCTGCCCGCACTGCTCCCGGCCCGCCGCTGCCGAGCCCGCAGCCGCCCGCGCACCGCCGCTGCTGCGCCCGCTGCCGCCCGCGCACCACCGCTGCTGAGCCCGCAGCCGCCCGCGCACCGCCTCTGCTGAGCCCGCCGCCGCCCGCGCACCGCCGCTGCTGCGCCCGCTGCCGCCCGCGCACCACCGCTGCTGAGCCCGCCGCCGCCCGCGCACCGCCGCTGCTGCGCCCGCCGTCGCCCGCGAATCACCGCTGCTGAGCCCGCCCCTACTACGCCGGCTCTCGCTGCCGCCTGCTGCGCCTGTGCACCACTGCATTCCTACTACTACACTTTCTGCTACTACTGCTTGTGCGCCACTACAGTCCGTAGGCCCCACCGGCCCCGCTGACCCTGCGCACGCCTTTTCAGTGACTTTACTGCTTCTACTACTGCCGCTGTCGCTATGGCTAGTCCTCCTGTTCTAGCTTTCGACGCCGAGGGCCGTCCGGTCAAATTCGAAACCTGGCTAGATGACCTGCACCTTTTCCTACAGCTCACTGCCAAGGAAGATATTACACTGTACGACCACGCTCTCGGCCATGCGACCGCCCCACTCGCTACTGCCCCCCCAGCTGAGCGCTCACAGTGGCAGACCCGTGACGCGCACGCTCGCTTTGCTATTCGCAACTCCCTGCCGCTAGATGAGCGCGAGCACTTCGGCCAGTGCAAGACTGCTAAGGACCTCTACACAGCTGTAGTGGCCCGCTACTCCTCACCCGCTTCTGCCACACTAGGCCGCCTCACTCTCCCCTACCTGTTCCCCGACCTAGCCTCCTTTCACACTGTCGCAGACCTCATCACCCACCTTAAGACTAGTGAGGCTCGCTTTCGCGCTGCCATGCCTGATGAGTTTCTCGCTAGCAACCCCCCCCCGCTCTGGATCACTCTCTACCACGTTGTCACCCGCCTCCCTGACTCTCTGCGCCCTGTCAGGGACCAGTTCCTCTCTCGCTCCCCCACTGAGCTCACCATAGCCCTCCTCGAGAAGGAACTGCTTGCAGCTGAGGCTAGTATCGTCGCTGTAGGCACCTCTCGTGGCGACCCCCGCGGCCCCTTCTTCGAGGGGTGCTCCCCTTCCCCCCTCCTCCCCTCTGTCGCCTCTGCTGCTGCTGTCGACCTCCTTGGTGCTGAGAAGGTCGGGGCTGCGTCTGCTTCAGGCGGACGACGCAGGGGCAGGAGTGGCAGGAGTGGGGGTGGTGGCGGAGGAGGCGGGGGTGGAGGTGGTGGCGGTGGAGGTGCGACTGGAGAGACTAGTGGCGGCAGTGGTGGAGGTGACAGCGGTGTTGGGAGTGGTGACAGGGGCGGAGGTGGCAGCGGAGGCGGAGGTGGTCGTGGCAGCGGCAGGGGTGGAGGTGGCCGGGGCGGAGGCGGAGGGGGTGGTGGTCGTGGAGGCCCGGGGGGCGGTCAGAGTCAGCAGCCTTCCCCGACCCTTCAGGCCGCCCGTGAGTGGTATGCACGGCGCAGCGTCACCTGCCAGTACGTTATTCGTACAGGTGACCGCACTGGCCAGATGTGTGGGGGGCCGCACCAGACGGAGCGCTGCTTCGCCCGCCTCAACGATGCGTGGCGCACCCAGTTTCCTGGTGGGGGTGAGCTGCCGCGCTGGGCTGATCTGCTCAGGAAGGGTGTTGATATTTGGGCACTTGACTTTGATGCTATTCTCACTGCCATGTATGCGATGTCTATTAGTGGAGAGGGTGCTCAGTACTTGCGTGTTCCGCCCGACCCGGGCATTCAGGCCAGCCCCGCTGCTGCTCTAGGTGCTAGTGTGTCTGCTTCCACAGGTACTACTGCAGCTGCTGCTCTAGGTGCTTGTGCGTCTGTGCCCCCTGGTACTGAGTCGACTGCAGCACTGCACACCTTCACACTGGACTCAGGTGCTTCTCGCTCTTTCTTTCGTGACCGCACTGTCCTTGAGCCTCTAGCTCGGCCGGTTGCTGTCTCTCTTGCTGACCCCTCTGGGGGTCCGGTCCTTGCGACCTCCTCCACCACCCTTCCGTGTCCAGCGGTTCCGTCCGGCACACTCTCAGGTCTCTACCTCCCCTCGTTCTCCACGAACTTGGTGGCAGGTAGTGCGCTCCAGGACTCGGGTGTTCACCAGTTCACCCCTGCCTACGAGCGTGTGACTCACTGCACGTGTGCTCGGACGGGCCGCCACCTGGCTACTTTCACTCGAGAGCCGGGGTCTGACCTGTACACACTGACCACTGAGTCCCCTCAGGTAGCTGCGTCTGCGTCAGCGTCAGGTCAGCTGTCCGCCCCCTGCTCGTGTCGCTCTCTGGCGAACGACACCGTCCTCTGGCACCACCGCCTTGGTCACCCGTCTGTGCAGCGCCTGCGGGCCATGCACAAACGGGACCTTGTTGCTGGTCTTCCCAGGGTGCTCCCTCCCCTTCCAGCCTCGCCTGCTCCTGACTGCATTCCCTGTGTCGAGGGGCGGCAGCGCGCCGCTCCTCACTCCTCCTCCTTTCCCCCGACGACCGCTCCCCTGCAGACGCTCCACATGGACGTGTGGGGCCCAGCCCGCGTCCGTGGTCAGGGTCAGGAGAGGTACTTCCTGATAGTTGTTGACGACTACTCGCGCTACACCACGGTCTTCCCCTTGCGCGCCAAGGGTGACGTCCCTGGTGTTTTGATCCCCTGGATCAGCCGAGCCCGTCTCCAGCTAGGCGAGCGCTTTCACTCGGACTTTCCTGTCCTGCGCTTGCACTCTGACAGGGGTGGTGAGTTTGCCTCCGACCTCTTGGCAGCCTACTGTGCTGAGCACGGCATTGAGCAGTCGTACACGCTTCCGGCCTCTCCACAGCAGAATGGGGTTGCTGAGCGCCGCATTGGCTTAGTCATGGAGGTCGCTCGTACCTCCCTGACCCATGCGGCTGCTCCCCACTTTCTGTGGCCGTTTGCGGTCCGGTACGCAGCACATCAGCTCAACCTCTGGCCCCGTGTCTCCTTGCCGGAGACTTCCCCGACTCTACGGTGGACGGGAGAGGTTGGTGATGCGTCGCGTTTCCGGGTCTGGGGATCTCGAGCCTTTGTCCGCGACACGTCTGCGGACAAGCTCTCACGTCGCACTGTTCCCTGTGTCTTTCTTGGCTTTGTTCCCGACGCGCCTGGATGGCAGTTTTACCACGTCACCTCGCGCCGGGTTCTGGCCTCTCAGGACGTCACTTTTGACGAGTCCGTCCCCTTCTACCGCCTCTTCCCCTACCGCACTGCCCCACTCCCCCCCCCGCCTCTCTTCCTCGCTCCAGGTGCTGAGGTACCAGACCCCCTCCCCCCTCAGGGTGCCGCTCCCTCAGGTGTGTCCCAGGTAGACCCGGGTGAGCCTGTCGAGGTAGCTGTTGACTCGCGTCCTGCGTCTGGGGGTGCTGAGCCTGGAGGTGCGGAGCCTGGGGGTGCTGAGCCTGGAGGCGCGGAGCCTGGGGGTGCTGAGCCTGGAGGTGCGGAGCCTGGGGGTGCTGAGCCTGGAGGTGCGGAGCCTGGAGGTGCGGAGTCTGGAGGTGCTGAGTCTGGACGTGCTGAGTCTGGGGGTGCTGAGTCTGGGGGTGCTGAGTCTGGGGGTGCTGAGTCTGGGGGTACTCCACCTGGAGGAGCCCTCTCCTCCCAGCAGCTGCAGGAGAGGTACCTCGAGTACTGCCGCCTCCGGAGAGGTGCTTCTGGAGCTCGTCCCGGTACTTCCCCTCCTACCCAGGAGCTCCCCCCCATTCAGGTGATCCGCGAGTGGTACACGCGGCGCTGCAGTCTTCGTAGTGGTGCTCCTGGTGCTGCGGACCCGAGCGGTGGTGCTGTTGCTGGTGCTGAGGACCCGGACGCTGGAGCTGCTGCTGGTGCTGAGGACCCGGGGGCTGGAGCTGCTGCTGGTGCTGAGGACCCGGGCGTTGGAGCTGCTGCTGGTGTTGAGGACCCGACCGGTGGCGCTGCTGCTGGTGCTGAGGACCTGACCAGTGGCCCTGCTGCTGGTGCTGAGGACCCGGGCGTTGGAGCTGCTGCTGGTGCTGAGGACCCGACCGGTGGTGCTGCTGCTGGTGCTGAGTGCTGAGGACTCGGGCGTTGGGGCTGCCACTGGTGTCCCTGCTGTTTCTGGAGACGCTGCGCGGCCGCGACCGTACTTCGTACCGCTCCTTCAGCAGGTTCTTGGTCAGGCTCCTCCTCTTAGTCCTCCTCCCTCCGTAGCGTGTCCTCCGCCTGTCCAGCCGCAGTCACAGTTACCGCCTGTCTCGCCTCTCCCTGCTCCCTCCCCTTACGCTGGTCCCACAGGAGGTCTTACAGAGCGTCGTGAGCCTGAGTCTCGTCCTGCGTCGCCTGTTCGTACCGCTCGCACTGGTCGTCGTGTCCCACGTGAGCGTCCTCCTCCTGTCCCTGGCACTCACTACATGACTCTACGTCCCTCCACTGCTCCGCAGCGTGTCCCGCTGCCGTCTCCTCCTGCGTCCTCTCTTCCTACTCTTCCTGACCCGGAGTCTGACTCCCGTCGTGCTGCCAGTCCCACTGTCACGCGTCTCCTTGCTACAGTTGTCACTGACCCGACCTTTGAGTCCTCTGCTGCGTCTGCCCTGGTCGCTGAGTTGGTTGACTTTGCTGCTCGCTGTCGCCTAGACTACGCTGCCAGCCTTGTCGCTAGGTCTGAGTCTGCGTCTGCCTGTCCTCCGTCCGTCGGGGGTGAGTGTGCCCTCGGCACGGACGTCCTTGAGGACAGACAGGAGGAGTTCCACTGCCTTGCTGCTGCTTTGCCCCGTCTCGTGTCCTTGCTAGTTGCCCCTGAGGGAGACCCGGATGCACCAGACATCCCGACCCCACGCTCTTACGCTGAGGCGATGGCGGGTCCCTACTCCTCTCAGTGGCAAACAGCCATGGACGCAGAGATGGCCTCCTGGAAGTCCACAGGCACCTACGTAGACGAGGTTCCCCCTCCTGGGGCGAACATTGTCAGTGGCATGTGGATTTTCAGGGTGAAGCGGCCGCCGGGTTCTCCGCCTGTTTTCAAGGCGCGCTACGTGGCTCGAGGCTTCAGTCAGCGAGAGGGAGTAGACTTCTTTCAGACCTTCTCCCCCACCCCGAAGATGACTACTCTTCGGGTGCTACTGCACATAGCCGCTCACCGCGACTACGAGCTTCACTCTCTTGACTTCAGCACTGCTTTCTTGCAGGGCAGCCTGCACGAGGAGATCTGGCTGCGTCGCCCCCCTGGCTTCACTGGGTCAGTTCCTCCTGGCACCCAGTGGAGGCTTCAGCGGCCGGTCTACGGTCTCCGCCAGGCGCCACGTGAGTGGCACGACACACTGAGGACGACACTTGCGGCTCTTGGGTTCGCTCCCTCTACTGCTGACCCGTCGCTGTTTCTACGCACCGACACCTCGCTGCCGCCGTTCTACATCCTCGTGTACGTCGACGACTTGGTCTTTGCCACTGCTGACACCGCGGCACTCGCTCACGTGAAGTCGGAGCTGCAGAGGAGACACACGTGCACAGACCTGGGTGAGCTGACGAGCTATCTTGGCTTGCGGATCACCCGGGACAGAGCACGGCGCACCATCACCCTGACTCAGTCACACATGGTGCAGCAGGTTCTCCAGCGCTTCCGCTTCACGTACTCCTCGCCTCAGTCCACTCCTCTGCCTACCGGTCACTCGCTCTCAGCTCTGCCTTCGGATGAGTCCGTAGAGCCGAGTGGCCCGTATCCAGAGCTTGTGGGCTGCCTCATGTACCTGATGACCTGCACTCGACCTGACCTTGCATACCCTCTTAGCATCCTAGCACGCTATGTCGCTCCTGGCCGTCACCGGAAGGAGCACATGGATGCTGCTAAGAGGGTGTTGCGCTACTTGTGCAGTACGTCGGGCATGGGGCTTGTGCTTGGAGGGCGAGACCGGGTTGTTCTCACAGGGCACTCAGACGCTTCTTGGGCAGACGACCAGGCTACTCAGCGGTCGTCCCAGGGTTACACCTTCAGCCTTGGCTCTGGCACAGTTTCTTGGCGTTCTACTCGCTCTTCTTCTGTTCTCAGCTCCAGTTGTGAGGCTGAGATCTATGCCACAGCCATGGCCGCCCAGGAGCTACGCTGGCTGACCTACCTGCTGACCGACCTCGGAGAGCGGCCTCGTTCTCCTCCAGTGCTGTACGTCGACAACAAGGCTGCCATTGCCTTGTGTGAGGAGCACAGACTGGAGCACAGAACGAAGCACATCGCTCTGCGGTACTTCCTGGCTCGAGAGCTGCAGCAGCGTGGTCAGCTTTGTCTGCGTTACGTGGCCACGGAGGCCAACACTGCTGATGTGTTCACCAAGGCGCTTCAGCCTTGTGACCATCAGCGCTTTTGCACTCTGCTAGGCCTTGTACCTACTGGGCCTCACTTACTTACCTCTTGACCTTGCTTGTACTGTGATCACTATATATATATGCCTACTTGTTTACGTTTGCTAGGTTGTGATCACTGTATCTCTTGCTTTGTTATAAACCTGCATGTGAACTGGTCTTGTGACCGCTTGCTTGTGCTCGGAATTTGTGTGGAATCCTTGAGATCCACCCTGAGCTTGTTTTGCTTTGCTTTGACTGGTCTTGTGACCCTGTGGCTGTCTCCCACTGCGCCTATGGGGGTGTGTCAAACATTGCATGTTTATATTGTCTAGGCTGTAGTGGGTTACACCTTAGGGGGTACACAAAGTTAGGGTTTCCTACTTGTACCAAACTCTGTTCTAGTTCATTCATTCCTGCTCAGTTATTTCTGACAGTTATCATAGCACCCTAGGGTGGTATGTCCGGGTGATTACGGTATTTGCCTGACAGGTTGGTTGGCTGGTTCACTTGTGTATGGTACTAGAAATGGGATTACCAGTGTGTGTGTGCTTCCCTGTACAGTAGAATTTACTTTTACCTCCTTCAGACTGCTGTTTTTTGGGTTGCGAAGCAACCTATTACAATCGTTATGTTCATTTTTTTTTCTTCCACTACGGTATATTAAAAAAATTCTAGTGAATGATAGCTAAGTGACTACCGGTATGTATTTGCCATGGCAATTAGCCAGGGCCTCAGATGTCAGAGAAAAAAGGCTGAATTAGTGTCTAGAGGCTGATTTCACAGACATGTGGAAGAGGTGTTGGCTGAAATTTCAGTTTTTTTTTTTTAAGTAGTTGGCTGATTTTTCAGTTTTTTTTTTTAAGGTGTGGCTGAATTCCCAGCGTTTTTTTACAAGTGTAGTCTGATTGATCAGACTTGTAACGCGAGAGTAGGCTGAAATCACGCTTGTACAGATTCGTGCTGGAGCCGCGAGATTCGGCTGTCCAGGTACAACCACCGTCAATCACGCTAATGTGGCCATGTACAGCGCCGGCGCAGCGGGAAAACGAATTTCCCCGTCGCGTCGGTTGCTTCGTTGGCACCGACAGAATGCTGTAAGTGATGGGACTGGTTGTTTAACCAATCACATCCCTTATGGGCCAATCACCCACCACCAGTGCAACACAGCAAAGCACTGCACTCACTCACGACAAGACACCCACCTCAAGTGCGTGCATGGTGCCCCCACGTCGCGCCGCGTTGCAGTTGGGTGGTGAGAAGGAGAGGGCCTTCTTTTGTGGCTCCGACCGTGAACTTGACGGCCTAGAGGAAGCCACGACGGGGCTTGATATGCTCCTGCGCTCGCTAGGCACTGGTCTCCACGCTACCAGGCCTCCTACAACAAAGCCTGCTCCAGTTGAGAGGGTGAACCGCGACCACCCACCGCCATCTACAAGCCCGGACTCCATCCGGAGTGAACCTGCTGCGCCTGCTGCCGTCTCCGACACAGTGGTTGTCGAGTCGCCTGCAACGCGCAACTTCAAACTGAAGCAGGCGACGCTGATCTGGGCAAAGCCTTCTTCCAGCACCGCCGTCGAGCAACCTGTCGTGACCAACTCATCCCCTCATCCATCATTGCTCGTTGACCTTTCGGAAGCAGTTGAAGCAGTCTATGCAGACGCTCTCTTGAAGTACAAAAATAGGTGGTCTGAGAGGTTCCCGTGGCTTGTGCTAACCAAATCTAAATCTGGTTTCCCAGCTTTTAAGTGCAGTGTCTGCACCAAGCATGCCGGACTCAGAGGACGTTGTGGCCAGACAGGGAGCGGGGCCACCGACGTGCAGACGCAGGCGTTTCGCAAGCACGCCGGCACAACGAAACACAAGCTTGCGATGGAGAAGCAGGAGGCCCTGCTGAACGCGGCCTCGAAGCAGCCACGAATCGACCAACATCGAGCCGCCGTCGATGCTGAGAAGAACCGAGTCGTGGCGTTGCTCGACTCCATGCTGTTCGTCAGTTCATGCGATGCGCCCATGGGAACATGGGTAAAGCTGGTGCAGTACCTCGCGCGCAAGGGGGTTCAAGGCTTCCCAAAGAAGGGATATGGCACCTACTACACAACGTGAGTACACCTTCCCCCTGTATTTTGTTGGTGTGTTGTGATGTTTGTACATTAACCTACTTCTAATCTCCTGTTTTCTGTTTCCCTGTGGGCAGGTACGGCTTCGGTGAGCTCACGCAGGCCCTTGCTACCTGGCTACAGACAACGCAGCTAGAGCACATCCTGACAAGCCCTTTCATCGGCATCTGCATCGATGAAAGCACGGATCGGCTCAGGGGGAAGCACATGATCCTGTACGCCTCGTTAATTCGCGACAACGTGCTCGTGACCGAGTTTATGCAGCTAATCACGGTGGAAAAGGCGGACGCTTCATCTCTTCTGAGCGTCCTGCTTTCCCACTTGCAGGCCGTCGGTGTCGACCTGCAGAGGATTTCCGGCATTTGCACCGACGGCGCACGAGTGATGATGGGGACTAAGGCCGGATTGGTTGTCCGACTGCGACAGAAAATCCCGCACCTTGTCTCCGTTCACTGCATCGCGCACAGGTTAGTGAGCTATGCGGTTCAGTTTCCATCCCGTTTCCACTGTCTGTTTAGGACATATCTGATTTCCCCCGTGTGATGTGTTCCACTTGCAGGGAAGCACTTGCAGCGAAGGATGCGGCAGAGGAGCTCCCCGTCTTCGACATGGTCGACGATCTTTTCCGGGCTGTGGCAGATTTGCTTGGTCGGTCGGGACCGCGCCACGCACGGTTCATGGACCTGCAAGAGGTCATCACCGAAACAAGCCTTGAAGTGCAAGGCATCCACTCCGTTCGGTGGCTGTCACGGGGGGATGCCGTCCGTCGCCTGGTCGCTGTCTTGCCGGCAGTGATTGTGCTGCTGAAGGAGCTTAACAGCAAAATGTTCGCGCTGGCAAGCTCCTATCGTTTTCACTTCTTCCTTTACTTCCTGGCAGATGTGCTTGAGCAGCTCAACATCTTGAACAAGACCTTCCAGCGGAGACAGGTGAGGTGGTGCGATTTTCCCCATGCATGTAACCCTATTTCGGCCGTCACTAACATTGTCACTGTATGCCTTCGTCTGTCCAGCTTGATCTGGTGTCTTTGCATGCGCAGATCAAGCGGACCACGCATCACATCGAGAGCCGCTACGTGGACTGCGGCGATGACTTCGGCGGTGGCAGCAGCCAGTGGCTGTCACCTTTCCTGGAGCGCCATGGCCCGGGGTGTAGCCGCGAAGTGAAGGTGGAAGGTGTCGACAGTGACGGCCGGCCATCTACAGTCACGTTCACCCTTCACGACGAGCCCGTGGACTCGTACAGCGGCCCGGAAGACCACGACGGCTGCATCCAGTTGTGCACCGAGTTCGCGGAACGGATCGTGGCGAACCTGGAGGGTCGGCTCGGTGATCTCGACTCGCTTTCAGGAGTCCGCCTCTTCACTCCTGATGCATGGCCACAGGGCAAGTCCGAGCGGAATGCACGTTGCCAGGAGTGGCTCAACTCGCTGGTGACGATGTTCAAGGCTCAGGACCGTGAGGAGATTTTGCCAGGTTCGTTAAGCCTAACTTGTCAAGTCATGACTTCATCCATATGTTTGAATGACAATCCTTTGGTTCAGTTTGCTCCTTTGTCTCTTCTGAACCCTGCCTCCCTCCCTTCCACCAGGCATCAAAAAGAGGCAGGCAGTCAAGGAGCTTCGCCTCTTCTGTTCAGTCCTTGCGTGTGCCCCCAAGGAAGAGCGGGGCTTCCACAGCGGTCCGACGGCGATCCTGAAGACGCCAGACTGGCGGGAGAGCTACCCCAATCTGGTGCAGCTCTGGGTGGTGGTGGCTGTGATTCCCCTCAGCACAGTGGAGTGTGAAAGGGGATTCACCCGGCAGAACGTGAATAAGACATGGCGGCGGGGGGGGATCAAGGACGCGAGACTGGGGGACCTCATGTGTCTGTCCCTCATGCAGTACGAGCCCAACTACGATGAGGTAGTTGAGATTTGGCGGAGTTACAGAAAGCGCAAGCCTTTCAGTAATGCCCCCATCTTCACCTCGACCCTAGGCGACAAGAAGGGCAAGCATGAGGAGCCAATAGATGAAGATGATGAGGAGCCAGTAGGAGATGCATGAGGTAGTTCTAGTGATGAAGATGATGAAATGAGCAGCTAACTTCATGTAGTGTAGACTGTGTAGTGCTTATCCATGTACTGTAGTGCCTTGAGCAGCTGACGTAGTGTAGTGTCATTAGTGTAGTGTAGTGTAATGTCACATGCTACATCGTATGAATAAAAGTGCTGAAACTTAGATCAGCCTTCGTTTTTTAGAGAGGCTGATTAGTCAGCGTTTTTTTAAGGACTTGTCTGAAAGTTCAGCTTTTTTGTTACACCCAACTCTGATAGATCAGCCTAGGGTAGCTTGCTAAGGCTGACGTATCAGCCAAGCTAAAAACGAATATGAGGCCCTGCAATTAGCACTTCGTTCTCATTTCCTAGTTTGGATGAACCACCGTATCACCCCGGATAGAAGCGCATATGCGCTTATAATAAAATCAGTTTTTTTGGGGGGGGGGGGGGGGGGGGGGGGGGGTTAATTGAGTATCGGCCATAAGCGCCGGCGCTTATATAATGACAAATATAGAATTATAACTTAAACGCACCAAACTGTACATTTTTGTCAAGTAAGTTCAATCGAGTCGAAATTTTACAGCTTCCTGAATCAGAATCGCGCGAGGGCGATTCTCTGACGCTGAACAGAGCATTTGGCACATCAATTTGCCCGCGTGCCACCTCGTCCTGACTGGACGCGCAACCAGTCAGGACCTCGAAAGTCAAACAAGGTGAAAATGGGTGCTGACTCGCTTGGAAGTTGAGATTCGCTACCGTTTTAATCAGGATTGAAAAAATAAAATTATGCATGCGCTTATAATAAATCAGGGGTTTACAAGGGGGGCGCTTATAATCAAGTTCCGGCCATAAGCGCCATGCTCCAGATAGAAGCGCCGGCACCTTTAATCGGACGGCGCCTATATCCGGGGCCATACGGTATACTATACGGACGAAATATGAACATGCGTTACTAAAACGATGTTACTTTGAATGCATAGTTGTTCATTTCGTAATGCATATGACGGGCGATGTTATGCATAATCGAAGTATAATGATGGATATGATGTAAAATGCATAAATATAATGCAGTGTGTTATATGTTGGTAGGCCAATATGGGGTACAACCCCAACTAGGGTTTCATATTTGTACTCAAACTTCTGCTAGTTCATTCATTCTTGCCTAGTGATTCTGATATATGCTACTGTGGTGAATGTACCGGTAGTACCGGTATATACTTCGGTCCAATATAGTGAAATGAATGCATAGCATGATGGAAATGCGTAACAGTTAATTGACCCAGACCCTATGCTACCGCATCCCCTGCCTAGCATGTGGGGGAGCTGAATAGCATAGGTCTTGAATCATTCAACTGTTACATGAAACAACTGTCAAACTATATTTGTTGTTTGTATGTTGTAGGCTACAGTGGGGTAGCCACTAAGGGGTACAACCCCTTTAGGGTTTCATACTTGTATCACATTCTTGCCTTAGTTCATCCTATTCTAGTCTATTATCTTGACATGGTATTAAGAGCCATGGGTCCTTAGGGCCTAAGCTTTTCATAGGGACCACCTGTTACCGCGTTACCCCACTGCCCTACCCCGAGTCGCGCTGCCCCTGTCAGCCACGCGCCACTGCTGCAGCGCGAATTTTTTTTAGCGCACTGCTCTGCCTGCCCCACCCCGCGCGCACTGCTGGCCGCGTCGCGCTGCTGTCGCGTCGCCCCGCCGCCCGCGCGCCTGTCCTGTCCGTGCGCCGCCCGTCGCCGCGCACTGCCCTGCCCGTGGGCAGCCCGCCGCCGCGCCACCTGCTCTGCCCGTGCGCAGCCCGCCGCCGCGCCACCTGCCCTGCTCGTGCGCAGCCCACAGCCGCGCCACCTGCCCTGCCCGTGCGCAGCCAGCCGCCGCGCCTCCCTGCCCTGCCCGTGCGCAGCCCACCGCCGCGCCACCCTGCCCTGCCGTGCGCAGTCCACCGCCGCGCCACCCTGCCCTGCCGTGCGCAACCCGCAGCCGCGCTCTGCCCTGCCCGTGCGCAGCCTGCCCTGCCCTGCCCGTGCGCAGCCTGCCCGCCGCACTCCCTACCCTGCATGTGTGTGCAGTCCGCTTCCTCCCCTGCCGGCTGCCCCTAACCCAGTGAGCGCCGCCTCCTTCTGCCCTGTGCACGCATCCTGCCGCTTGCCCTTTGCCCATGGCGACTTACAATGTTCTCACCTTTGACGCAGAGGGCCGCCCGATCGAATTTGAAACCTGGTTAGACGACCTTAGGCTCTACCTTCAGTGCGAGTCTAAGGATCGTGTGTCCCTGTTCGCTCATACGTCTGGTAGCGCTGCCGCCCCTGCAGACACTGCTGACGCTGACACTCGTGACCAGTGGCTTATTCGCGACGCTGCTGCCCGCCTAGCTGTGCGCAACCACCTACCGTAAGCCGAGCGCGCGCACTTTAGCCAACAGAAAACCGCCAAGGACCTGTTCGACGCAGTCGTAGCTCGCTACAGCTCGCCTGCCACTGCTGCGCTAGGCCGTCTTATCCTGCCCTACCTCTTTCCTGACCTGTCCGCCTTTCCTACAGTCGCTGATCTCATCACCCACCTCCGCACTAGCGACACTCGGGTGCGTGCTGCGACCCCTGCCGACTTCCTCACCAAGAACCCTCCCCCTATCCACTACACCCTCTATCTCCTAGTCACTCGCCTCCCTGACTCTCTTCGCGCTGTCAGGGACACCTTCCTCGCCATGGACCCCACTGAGCTCACTATAGGCGCTTCTCGAGGCACTCCTCGCACCCCCTTCTTCGAGGGGTGTTCCCCCTCTCCCCTCCTCCCCTCTGTCGCCACTGCTGCTGCTGTCGACCTCCTTGGTGCTGAGGAGGTTGGGGTTGCGTCTGCTTCCAGTGGCAGGCGCCGCAGCGGCAAGGGGAAGGGCGGCAAGGGTGGTGGGGGTGGTGGGGGTGGAGGCGGTGGTGGAGGCTCGGGTGGTGGCGGCGGGGGTGGTGGGAGCGGCGGGGGTGGGGGTGGGGGTGTTGGGGTCGGTGGTGGTGGCGGCAGTGGGGGTGGCAGCGGCGGAGGTGGCGGCGGTGGGAGTGGCAGCGGCGTCGGTGGCGGTGGACGCAGTGGTGCGGCCCGGCACAGCGGCTTTACAGGCAGCCAGGCACAGCAGCAGCAGCGCCAGCGCCTGCCCCGTACGCCGCAGGACCTTCGTGAGTGGTACGCGCAGCGTCAGTCGCCTGGGGGTGGTGGTACCTGCCCGTATGTCATTCGTACGGGTGAGCGTGCTGGTTAGACCTTCGGGAGGTTGCACACCCAGCACCGCTGCTTTTCCCGCCTTAGTGGTGCCTGGCGTGCTCAGTTTCCTGACTGCTCTGAGATGACCAACTGGGCTGAGCTGCTTTGGAGGGGAGTAGAGATCTTTGATCTTGACTATGATGCTATCCTTGCTGCCATGTATGCATTGACTATTAGTGATGAGGGTGACTGTTACCTGTGTGTTCCGCCAGACCCTGGTATAGAGGCTGCTGCTCCAGGTGCTTGTGAGTCTGTTGCCCTTGGTGCTTGTGAGTCTGCTGCTCTAGGTGCTAGTGAGTCTGCTCTCTAAGGTACTGCGCCTACTGAGGCCTTGTACACTTTCACGCTAGACTCAGGTGCCTCCCGCTGCTTCTTCCGCGACAGCACCACAGTCACACCGCTCTCTGCACCGGTTCCCGTCTCCCTTGCTTACCCCTCTGGGGAACCTGTCCTTGCTCGTTCCTCCACTGTCCTCCCCTGTCCGGCGGTCCCGTCTGGCTCACTTACAGGTCTCCACCTCCCCTCGTTCTCCACGAACCTGGTGAGTAACGCCGTCATCCAGGATGAGTGGGTTGACACCTTCACCCCTGGAGGACGTCGTGTGGCGATCTGCACGTGTGCCCGCACGGGCCGCCACCTGGCCACGTTCACCCGTCGGCCTGGGTCGAGTCTGTACACCCTGACTGTCGGGTCTCCCCAGGTTGCTGCTACTGGTCAGGTGTCCTTGTCCGGACTGCAGTCTGCCCCTTGCTTGTGTCGTCGCCTGTCGCACCAGACTCTCCTCTGGCACCACCGCCTTGGTCACCCCTCTCTGCCACGCCTCCGTGGCATGCACTCCCGTCTGCTTGTCTCTGGTCTTCCCCAGTCGCTGCCGTCGCTCCCACGCTCGCCTGCCCCGCCGTGTCTCCCTTGTGTCGAGGGGCGGCAGCGCGCCGCTCCTCACTCCTCCTCGTTTCCCCCGACAGACGCTCCCCTGCAGACTCTCCACATGGACGTGTGGGGCCCAGCCCGCGTCCGGGGACAGGGCCGCGAGCAGTACTTTCTGCTGGTTGTTGACGACTACTCGCGGTACACCACGGTCTTCCCCTTGCGCAGCAAGGGTGAAGTCCCTGCTGTCTTGATCCCTTGGATCCGCGCTGTTCGTCTCCAGCTCCGCGACCGTTTCCAGACGGACTTTCCCGTCCTACGTCTGCACTCTGACAGAGGTGGTGAGTTTTCCTCCGACCTCTTGCAGGACTTTTGTCAGGGGGAGGGCATCCTCTAGTCGTTCACGCTTCCGGCCTCTCCGCAGCGGAATGGGGTTGCTGAGCGCCGCATTGGCCTAGTCATGGAGATCGCTCGCACCTCCATGATCCATGCGGCTGCTCCCCATTTTCTGTGGCCGTTTGCGGTCCGGTACGCTGCGCATCAGCTCAACCTCTGACCCCGTGTCTCCTTGCCGGAGACTTCGCCCACACTGCGTTGGACGGGGAAGGTTGGCGATGCGTCACGTTTCCGGGTCTGGGGCTCTCGTGCCTTTGTCCGCGATACCACCACGGACAAGCTCTCCGCTCGCGCCATTCCCTGCGTCTTCCTTGGCTTCCCTACTGACGCGCCTGGCCGGCAGTTTTACCACCCCACATCGCGCCGTGTTCTGTCCTCTCAGGACAACACGTTTGACGAGTCGGTTCCCTTTTACCGTCTCTTCCCCTACCGCGCTGCCCCCCTCCCCCCCCCCCCCCCCCCCCCCCCCGCGCGCTTCCTCGCTCCAGGTCCGCCCCCGGTAGAACCCCTCTCCCCTCAGGGTCCTGCTCCTTCAGGTGTTTCCCAGGTAGACCCCTCTCCCCTGGTTGAGCCTGTCGAGGTCACTGGAAGAGCGAGGAAGAGCGGCAGGGGGGGGGGGGGGGGGGGGGGGGGAGGGGCAGTGCGGTAGGGGAAGAAACGATAAAAGGGAACCGACTCATCAAACATGACGTCATGAGAGGACAGAACATGGCACGTGGTGGGGTGGTAAAACTGCCAGCCAGGCGCGTCAGGGGGAAAGCCAAGGAAGACGGAGGGAAAGGCGCGAGAGGAGAGCTTGTCCGCGGTGGTATCGCGGACAAAGGCACAAGAGCCCCAGACCCGGAACACCGACGCATCGCCAACCTTCCCCATCCAACGCAGTGTAGGCGAGGTCTCCGGCAAGGAGACACGGGGCCAGAGGTTGAGCTGATGCGCAGCGTACCGGACCGCAAACGGCCACGGAAAATGGGGAGCATCCATGACTAAGCCAATGCTGGCGCTCAGTAACCCCATTCTGCTGCGGGGAGGCCGGAAGCGTGAACGACTGGAGGATGCCCTCCCCACGACAAAAGTCCTGTAGGAGGTGGGAGGAGAACTCACCACCTCTGTCAGAGTGCAGATGCAGGACAGGAAGGTCCTGGCGGAACCGCTCGCGGAGCTGGAGACGGACAGCGCGGATCCAAGGGAGAAAGACAGAAGGGACCTCCCCCTTGCTGCACAAGGGGAAGACCGTGGTGTAACACGAGTAGTCGTCAACAACCAGCAGAAAGTATCGCTCGCGGTCCTGTCCATTGACGAGGGCTGGGCCCCACACATCCATATGGAGAGTCAGCAGGGGAGCAGTCGTCGGGGGAAACGAGGAGGAGTGAGGAGCGGCGCGCTGCCGCCCCTCAACGCAAGGAAGGCAGGGTGGCACAGGCGAGGGCGGGAGGGAAGGCAGAGACCTGGGAAGACCAGAGACAAGGAGGCGGGAGTGCATGCCACGGAGGCGTGGCAGGGAGGGATGACCAGGGCGGTGGTGCTAAAGGAGAGTGTGGTGCGTGAGGAGGCGACACGAACAGGGGGCTGCTACCTGACCTGACGCGAACACCTGACCAGACACAGCCACCTGAGCAGGCTCAGTAGTCAGTGTGTACAGGCTCGACTGAGGCCGACGGGTGAACGTGGCCAGGTGACGGCCCATCCGTGCACACGTGCAGATCGACACACGCTGACCCCCAGGAGTGGTGGTAGTGACCATCTCATCTTGGAGGGCAGTGGTACTCATCAAGTTCGTAGAGAACGAGGGGAGGTGAAGACCGGAAAATGAGCCACACGGAACCGCCGGACACGGGAGAATAGTGGAGGAACGTGCAAGAACTGGGCCCCCTGAGGGGTCAGCCAGAGAGACTGCAACAGGTGCAGGGAGTGGTGTGACTGTAGTACTGTCGCAAAATAAGCAGCGGGAAGCACCTGAGTCAAGCGTGAAGGTGTGCAAGGCCTCAGCAGGCGCAGTACCAGAGAGAGCAGGCGCACTAGCACCTAGAGCAGCAGCCTCTATACCTGGGTCGGGCGGCACACACAGGTAACAGTCACCCTCAGCACTAACAGTCAAAGCATACATGGCAGCAAGAATAGCATCATAGTCAAGAGCAAAGATATCCACATCGGTCCTAAGCAGCTCTCGCCAGCGGGGGAGTTCAGCCTCGTCGCCAAACTCTGCGCGCCAGGCGTCGTCAGGACGGCAGAAGCAGCGGTACTGAGTGTGACCAACCTTCCCGCATGCCTGACCAGCCCGATCACATGTGCGAATGACGTACGGGCAGCGAACACTACCCCCAGACGCCCCACGCTGAGCAAACCACTCACGAAGCTGAGGGTCTCATGGGGACGCTGCTGCTGCTGCCTCTGGCCACCACCAGAACCTCCCCTCTGGACCGCTCCACCCCGACCGCCACCACTGCCGCCGCCACCACTCCCACTGCTGCCACCACCGCCGCCACCACTCCCACCGCTACCACCACCGCCGCCACCGACGCCTCAACTCCCACCACCACTTCCACCACCACCACCGCCACCACCACCACCACCACCACCACCGCCACCACCACCGCCTCCACTGCCGCCACCCCCACCACTCTTGCCTCCCTTGCCCTTGCCGCTGTGGCGCCTCCCACTAGGAGCAGAAGCAGCACCAAGGAAGTCAACAGCAGCAGCAGAAGCGACAGAGGGGGCAAGGGGGGAGGGGGAACACCCCTCAAAGAAGGGAGTGCGAGGAGTGCCATGAGAAGGTGTATGATGAGGTCGTCGACTGTGGACAAGGCCGACAGCTCAGGAAAGAGGTAGGGCAGTATGAGTCGGCCTAGAGCAGCAGTGGCAGGGGAGGAGTGCACGCGTTTGGCTAACGGCAGGTGGTTGCGAACGGCGAGGCGAGCAGTAGCGTCACGGGTAAGCCACTGTGAGCGAGTCGCACTGTCAGCTGTCTCGGGGGGGGCGAGAGAGCTCCTAGACGTGTGGTCAAATAAGGAGACACTGTCCTTAGACTCGCTCAGTAGGTACAGCTGTAAGTCGTCTAGCCAGGTCTCAAACTGGATCGGACGGCCCTCAGAATCGAAGGTGAGAACATAGAGGCCATAACGGGCAGAGCAGGGTGGCGCACAACCAGCAGGGCAACACGCAGGCAAGGCAGGGCGGCGCGCAGGAAGCAGGGAGGCACGCAAGTCTGTTCGGGGCGACGCGCGGGCACTAGGGAGGCGCGCAAGCCAGGGCGGGGCGGCGCGCGGCCGGGGAAGGGCGGCGTGCGGCCAGGGCAGGGTGGTGCGCTGCCAGCAGGGCGGCACGCGGACACGGGGGGAAACGGGCAGATCAAGGCGGCGCACGGGCCCTAGGATGATGCGACGGGCAGGGCAGGGCGTGCGCGGGCGGCGCGACGCAGGGCAGGGCGTGCGCGGGGCGGCGCGACGCAGGGCAGGGCGTGCGCGGGGCGGCGCAACGCAGGGAAGGGCAAGGTAGGGCAACGCGACTAGTGGGGCAGCGCGACGGGCAGGGTACTCTTCGGTGGGCCCTAAAAAAACGGTCGTGGAATAGGACCTGCTCTGAAACCATGTCAAAATACTGAACGAGAATGATGGCATTGAGAACAAGATGAATACAAGTACTAGCCCTAATTGGGTTGTACCCTTTAAGGGTTACCCCACTATAGCCTACGCAACATAACCATTATCATGTTTTGACACCTACTGTTACCGTTAGACTGGTACATTAGCCCATCGTTCCATGTCAGCCTGCTCCACCCGTACATCCCCACCACAAGCCAACTGCCACGCAATCGCCCACCGTCAATGACTCGACCTGCATCGGAGCCGATCGTCGACCCCGAAAAAAAACTAAGCCATCGGATTCGCTACCCCGCAGGAATCAGGAGGATCGAGTTCCTCGTTCGCTGGAAGGACCGCATCCCGACCAAATACAGCTAGGTGCCCCTGGCCAACATCGAAAACCACCCTGCCCTGCAAGTGTACCTGAGGAGCTGGGATTTTCGTGGTATACATGCACTCGCGTAGCAGAGAAGGTTTTTTCAGGGGGTGGGTAGTGTAAGGATTTTTCCACCATTCTTTACGGCGTGCTTCAATACCGCGTACAGCAGCAGCCGTTGTTCGCCCGTTACTGCTAACGGGGCTTCGCCAACCTTCGCGTGCATTATTCACCAAACCATGCACTGTTGGCCCGGCCGTGTCAGCCTACGCTTCGGGACTAGCCCGAACCTTGATGCCAGCATCGCACTAGGTAGCTTGCACGCACCGCGTAACCACTTGCATGTTTCGTATAGGTATTTTCCCATGCCTTCGCTCATAATTTGTACTCGGTTGACGCCCGAGTGCAATTTTCTCGATTTAGATCATTGCACCTGTAACAAAAATATAGGGTATATGAAAAACAATTGAAGGACGTTACGAAACACGTTCCAATTCGTTTTGAATGGTTCATCCTGGTGCGCAATGTGGTAAGAGCCGAAAACCGCGCCTAAACGTAATTGACCGTATTCAACCACGTCCGCTTCTGAGCCTTTTTTCGACCACCACCGCAAACTTGAACGCGTTCATCCAAGGGATCACTCTCCGCAACTCCCGCACTTGTCGCAACTCTCTACTCGAGCTGGGTACTGATACTCGAGGCAGAAGCTTGTTTGCGCTGCGGCCAGCCAGAGTTTGAAGCACGCCTTTGTGCATTGGGATTGGCCAACTTAACGCGTTCACTAGCCGCACGCTCGCGCCTCCCGAACGGCTTTCCTCCCGTCATCGCCGCTCCCCTCGTCCACTCATTCGCGTTCCTCCCCCTTGTGCCCACCATGACGACACTCGCCACACCCTTGGTCGACCTTCTCGCTGCCGCAACACCATCATCATCTAGTCCTAAAGTCCACCGAATGCGCGTTTCCGGGCCTCGGCGCAGTGCCGATCCCCTTGAGCTTCCTCTCCTCCCCTCACCCCCTCCCGTCCTCCTCTCCTCCCCCTCACCCCCACCCCTCCTCTCCTCCTATCCTTCTTCCGTGACGAAACTCGTTACATGATCCACGAGCCAATTTCGAGGAATAATAATTCATCATGTGCGATTGACCACTCGCTCTGAATATAAATCGACGCCCGCTCCCGAGGGCTCAATCACATTCTCCCACCGCTCCTCGCTCATTGCGCGCCTTCGTCTCCTCCCTTCTCAGTGGCACTTTCTTAATCGCACCTTTTCAATCGCATCTTCTCAGTCGCACCTTTTCAATCGCATCTTCTCGGTCGCACCTTGAGTGGCATCGTCTCAGTGGCACCTTCTCAGTCGCATCGTCTCAGTGGCAGGTCCCGCCCAATCTCACCTCATCGCGAGTGCCAGCGTCGTCAGTCCCATCCCGGCGGTTCAACTCGGGCCTGAAGCTCGTTGCCATCGCCACGTCATCGTCATCCCACTCTTCCCGTTTCCTCGGGCCGCCTTTGGACGCGCCTCAAAAACCCAAACTTCCCGTTCCCCGCGCCGACTCCTGTCGCCATGATTCGCTACACGCGCCTGTCCGGCCAGTGTGGCCTTGCCGCGGTCGTCGCTGGTGTCGTTGCCATCAGCTTCCTCGCGACCCACGCCAGCGCCGCTGAAGGTGAGTAGGCTGACTGCCACACGCCACTGGCAGAAGGCTTGTGGTGCTGGCGCGTGGATGAGTGCTGGCGTGTGGATGAGTGCTGGCGTGTGGATGAGTGCTGGCGTGTGGATGAGTGCTGGCGTGTGGATGAGTGCTGGCGTGTGGATGAGTGCTGGCGTGTGGATGAGTGCTGGCGTGTGGATGAGTGCTGGCGTGTGGATGAGTGCTGGCGTGTGGATGAGTGCTGGCGTGTGGATGAGTGCTGGCGTGTGGATGAGTGCTGGCGTGTGGATGAGTGCTGGCGTGTGGATGAGTGCTGGCGTGTGGATGAGTGCTGGCGTGTGGATGAGTGCTGGCGTGTGGATGAGTGCTGGCGTGTGGATGAGTGCTGGCGTGTGGATGAGTGCTGGCGTGTGGATGAGTGCTGGCGTGTGGATGAGTGCTGGCGTGTGGATGAGTGCTGGCGTGTGGATGAGTGCTGGCGTGTGGATGAGTGCTGGCGTGTGGATGAGTGCTGGCGTGTGGATGAGTGCTGGCGTGTGGATGAGTGCTGGCGTGTGGATGAGTGCTGGCGTGTGGATGAGTGCTGGCGTGTGGATGAGTGCTGGCGTGTGGATGAGTGCTGGCGTGTGGATGAGTGCTGGCGTGTGGATGAGTGCTGGCGTGTGGATGAGTGCTGGCGTGTGGATGAGTGCTGGCGTGTGGATGAGTGCTGGCGTGTGGATGAGTGCTGGCGTGTGGATGAGTGCTGGCGTGTGGATGAGTGCTGGCGTGTGGATGAGTGCTGGCGTGTGGATGAGTGCTGGCGTTTGGTTCAGCGGCGCACAATCATAGCAGAAACTGACTCGTTTGAACCCCCTTTCCCTACCTTGCCTGTGTGCTGGTGTGTGTGCCTCTTCGCCCCTGCGTGAAACAATCACGATTTCTGTGCAGACCTGTGTGCCAACGAAGACTGTGGAGAAGCTACCTGCACTGTTGATATAGACATGCCCGTGTGCGTGTGCAAGGACGGTTTTGTATTCGACGATGACCACAAGACGTGTGTGGTGGGTGAGTGCTAGTGTGTGGGTGAGTGCTAGTGTGTGGGTGAGTGCTAGTGTGTGGGTGAGTGCTAGTGTGTGGGTGAGTGCTAGTGTGTGGGTGAGTGCTAGTGTGTGGGTGAGTGCTAGTGTGTGGGTGAGTGCTAGTGTGTGGGTGAGTGCTAGTGTGTGGGTGAGTGCTAGTGTGTGGGTGAGTGCTAGTGTGTGGGTGAGTGCTAGTGTGTGGGTGAGTGCTAGTGTGTGGGTGAGTGCTAGTGTGTGGGTGAGTGCTAGCGCTGTGGGGGAGTGCACAATCATAAGCAACATTTTCACCCATTTAACCTGCTCTCCCTGCGTCACCATTTAACCTGCTCTCCCTGCGTCACCATTTAACCTGCTCTCCCTGCGTCACCATTTAACCTGCTCTCCCTGCGTCACCATTTAACCTGCTCTCCCTGCGTCACCATTTAACCTGCTCTCCCTGCGTCACCATTTAACCTGCTCTCCCTGCGTCACCATTTAACCTGCTCTCCCTGCGTCACCATCGCTTCCTCTGCAGACCCGTGTGCCGGCAGCGGGGTGTGTGGGTTAGAGGGTTCCTGCACCACTCTCGGTCCTAACGATTTTTTCTGCTATTGCGAGAATGGCCTTGCCTTCAACGAGGCTGACAAGACGTGCTATGGTGAGTGCTGCACTCGTGAGCAGTAGCTTCATTCCTTGAGGCATCTCATCGTTTCAGTCTCACTGGTGAGCTTTAGGCACTACATTCCTTGAGGCATCTCATCGTCTCATCGTTACATTCCTTGAGACACTGAGAGGCGCCGCTGAGAGGCAGGGCCGGAAACGTTCACCCCTCCTCACTCCTCCCGTGCCTTCCCCCCTGTCTGGTCTGCCCCCTTGCTCTCCTCTCTCCTGTCCTGCCTCCAAACCGCCATCATCGTCACGCAACCTTCAACGGCCATGATCTGGCATTGCCCGTCTCCTTGAACGGCTGTCAGCTCCCTTGGCGCGGACGACAGTGGCGCTGCAGCAAGGAGGCTCCAGAAGCATTGTGCCCGCCACCTTCTTTTTGCCGCTGCCGGCAGAGCAGGCCAGTGGCAGCAGTGCGTGCGGCAACCTGTATGTCACCATCGAAGGCACCGCCAAGATCACCGTCGTGTGGAATGCCTCCAACCCCACCTCGCCTTCCCGCGACGCCCCTAGCAACGCCATGTGCAAGAGCTTGTCGTTCTACGCCGAGTCGGGCTGCACGAAGAAGCTGGGCTTCACCATTGCGCGTCCTGCAAAGAAGGGCAGTTCCTACCCCGTCACCATCAAGTGAGTGAGCGTTATGCATGCAACTGCATGGTTTGTTCCAATGTGCTTGCATCACATAGTACGGCACTTTTCTATCACCAGAAATTGCTTGACTGTCTCGTAGTTGTAGTGTGAATGGACCCTAGCTCGTCCTAAGCTTTGCTCTTTCCCATCCTTACCTCTCCCGCACTCAGGACTGTCAAAGGAATCCGTTCGCTGTTATCAGTTGGCTGTGAGATCAGTAAGTGCGAGTGCATGCACGTTACGCTGGTGTTATTTTCCCTTCACGTAAAGAGTGTCACGTGCACATTAGAGAAGATCTCCAAGCACGCTAGCTTGTGCTTTGCTCATTCTGATGAAATCAATGAAACGAGAGAGATACCGTAAGATAGAGCGAGACACCCAAGCTCTTCTTTTTTGTGATTCTTTCATTCGACTCACCATGCCTGAAAATCCATTCCCCCCTTCTTCATGTCTGGATTGTTTGTCTCTCTGTGGTGCCCACAACAGCCATGTGTGAGAATGATTGTGGAAGTGCACAGTGCGTTGTGAAGGGGGGCCAGCCACAGTGCCAGTGCCCCGAGGGCCTCGTGTTCAACGCTGCTAAGAAGCGCTGCCTCGACCCGTCTCTTGCTCCTCGTAGGCGACCCTAGCTGGATGGACAGGGGGCAAGGACGTCATATCCGGGAGGTGGGAGGGGGGGGGAGAGAAGGGGGGGGGGGGGGGGGGGATGGAGCAACGGTGGGAGCAACCGTATGCGGTAGCTTGGAGGCTAGGGAACTACCGTAATCACCCGGACATACCACCCGCCGAAATAGAACACCCCCCGGGTGGCTTGTGCGGGGTGGGTGCTATAGCGGACCTCGTTTCTACTATACCCCCCTTTTGGGCCGATCCGGTATAAGACCCGGGGGGGGGGGTGTTTGTACGGAAAAAATTGTTGTTTTTGCCTAAATTTTGCGCAGGGACGTGATCGCACCAGCGAGGCTGCTAAGCCTGTTGCGGGACTCCCGCCTCTGTGACTGCATGAATCCTCGTCGAGCGACGGGGGGTGTGTTTTCGACCAATCAGGGCATGATAGAGGGTCTGTTGGAGCTTGCAATGTGGCAGCTTCCACTCGAGGCTAAGGGCGTGTGCACTAGGGGTTCAAACTTCTGTCTAAGTTCGAAATTTTAGCGAGGTTCTAATCGGTGCAAAGCGGTGAATGTTTGAACTTTGACAAATTTCGCCCACAGTGCACACGCCCTAACGTTATCACCTCATCCTCGGTTTTGCGCACCGAACCAACAATCTACCACCGCAGCAAGCATGTACATTTTGTTCCCAACCGTTTCTGCTTTAAAAAAAATGTACATTATAAAAAGACCCGGGTGTTATGTAGCTTTTTCCCATGACAAGACCCCCCCCCTTTTTTTGATGTAGTTATCATAGCACCCTAGGGTGGTATGTCCGGGTGATTACGGTATTTGCCTGACAGGTTGGTTGGCTGGTTCACTTGTGTATGGTACTAGAAATGGGATTACCAGTGTGTGTGTGCTTCCCTGTACAGTAGAATTTACTTTTACCTCCTTCAGACTGCTGTTTTTTGGGTTGCGAAGCAACCTATTACAATCGTTATGTTCATTTTTTTTTCTTCCACTACGGTATATTAAAAAAATTCTAGTGAATGATAGCTAAGTGACTACCGGTATGTATTTGCCATGGCAATTAGCCAGGGCCTCAGATGTCAGAGAAAAAAGGCTGAATTAGTGTCTAGAGGCTGATTTCACAGACATGTGGAAGAGGTGTTGGCTGAAATTTCAGTTTTTTTTTTTAAGTAGTTGGCTGATTTTTCAGTTTTTTTTTTTAAGGTGTGGCTGAATTCCCAGCGTTTTTTTACAAGTGTAGTCTGATTGATCAGACTTGTAACGCGAGAGTAGGCTGAAATCACGCTTGTACAGATTCGTGCTGGAGCCGCGAGATTCGGCTGTCCAGGTACAACCACCGTCAATCACGCTAATGTGGCCATGTACAGCGCCGGCGCAGCGGGAAAACGAATTTCCCCGTCGCGTCGGTTGCTTCGTTGGCACCGACAGAATGCTGTAAGTGATGGGACTGGTTGTTTAACCAATCACATCCCTTATGGGCCAATCACCCACCACCAGTGCAACACAGCAAAGCACTGCACTCACTCACGACAAGACACCCACCTCAAGTGCGTGCATGGTGCCCCCACGTCGCGCCGCGTTGCAGTTGGGTGGTGAGAAGGAGAGGGCCTTCTTTTGTGGCTCCGACCGTGAACTTGACGGCCTAGAGGAAGCCACGACGGGGCTTGATATGCTCCTGCGCTCGCTAGGCACTGGTCTCCACGCTACCAGGCCTCCTACAACAAAGCCTGCTCCAGTTGAGAGGGTGAACCGCGACCACCCACCGCCATCTACAAGCCCGGACTCCATCCGGAGTGAACCTGCTGCGCCTGCTGCCGTCTCCGACACAGTGGTTGTCGAGTCGCCTGCAACGCGCAACTTCAAACTGAAGCAGGCGACGCTGATCTGGGCAAAGCCTTCTTCCAGCACCGCCGTCGAGCAACCTGTCGTGACCAACTCATCCCCTCATCCATCATTGCTCGTTGACCTTTCGGAAGCAGTTGAAGCAGTCTATGCAGACGCTCTCTTGAAGTACAAAAATAGGTGGTCTGAGAGGTTCCCGTGGCTTGTGCTAACCAAATCTAAATCTGGTTTCCCAGCTTTTAAGTGCAGTGTCTGCACCAAGCATGCCGGACTCAGAGGACGTTGTGGCCAGACAGGGAGCGGGGCCACCGACGTGCAGACGCAGGCGTTTCGCAAGCACGCCGGCACAACGAAACACAAGCTTGCGATGGAGAAGCAGGAGGCCCTGCTGAACGCGGCCTCGAAGCAGCCACGAATCGACCAACATCGAGCCGCCGTCGATGCTGAGAAGAACCGAGTCGTGGCGTTGCTCGACTCCATGCTGTTCGTCAGTTCATGCGATGCGCCCATGGGAACATGGGTAAAGCTGGTGCAGTACCTCGCGCGCAAGGGGGTTCAAGGCTTCCCAAAGAAGGGATATGGCACCTACTACACAACGTGAGTACACCTTCCCCCTGTATTTTGTTGGTGTGTTGTGATGTTTGTACATTAACCTACTTCTAATCTCCTGTTTTCTGTTTCCCTGTGGGCAGGTACGGCTTCGGTGAGCTCACGCAGGCCCTTGCTACCTGGCTACAGACAACTCAGCTAGAGCACATCCTGACAAGCCCTTTCATCGGCATCTGCATCGATGAAAGCACGGATCGGCTCAGGGGGAAGCACATGATCCTGTACGCCTCGTTAATTCGCGACAACGTGCTCGTGACCGAGTTTATGCAGCTAATCACGGTGGAAAAGGCGGACGCTTCATCTCTTCTGAGCGTCCTGCTTTCCCACTTGCAGGCCGTCGGTGTCGACCTGCAGAGGATTTCCGGCATTTGCACCGACGGCGCACGAGTGATGATGGGGACTAAGGCCGGATTGGTTGTCC